CCACATCCCCACACCCATGCCCTCTCCCCGTCCCCTCCACCCTTCCCCCATCAGCCTGCAGCTCAGGCCGCTGAATGGTGCTGCTCCCCCAGGGCCCGTGCCAGAACCTGACCTGCTTCCCGCCTGCAACCCGCTGTGACGGCACCTGTGACCAGGGCCTGGTCCCTGTCCCGCTGCTAGCCAACCTGTCCGTGGAGGCACAGCCACCGTGGCTGCCCACACTCGAGGCCCACTACGTGGCTTTCGCACGCGACCTCATGGCCGAGGCCCAGCGCCAGGCCCGCCCGTTCTTCCTGTACTACGCCTCCCACGTGAGTGGCCCTGACCACCCCTCGGCTGTCCTGACCCTGGCCCAAAGCTAACTCCAGTCTCTGTCCCCAGCACACCCACTACCCCCAGTTCAGCGGGCAGAGCTTCGCCGGGCAGTCTGGCCGCGGGCCGTTCGGGGACTCCTTGATGGAGCTGGATACAGTTGTGGGGGCCCTGATGACGACCGTGGGGGACCTGGGGCTACTTGGGGAGACCCTGGTGCTCTTCACTGCAGACAACGGGTACGCCGGGGGGGCGGGGGTGCCAGCCGAGCCCCCAGGCCCGGCGTGGGCATCTCTCCATCTTGACTGCTGGCCGGGGACAGTGGGATAAGGGACACTGGCCATGTCACAGTGACTTGCAGGTGCATGTGGGAGGTAGGGCCACAAGTACGGTGCAGGTCCCGGGAGGACAGGGAGGGGACAGGCACGTGCTGGCTGTTTCTGTGCATGGCGTGTAACTCGGAAGTCTGGGGCTGGGGTCACCGGGGCTGGGCAGAGAGAGACCCTGGGCTCGTCGTTGCTGACCACCTCCTGTGTGTCCCAGGCCAGAGACGATGCGGATGTCCCACGGCGGCTGCTCTGGCCTCCTGCGGTGTGGAAAGGGAACCACCTACGAGGGGGGCGTCCGAGAGCCGGCCTTGGCCTTCTGGCCAGGCCACATCAGCCCCGGTCAGTGCTCAGGCCCTGTCCTCGTGGACCCCGGCCGCGCCTTCCCAGCCCCAATGGCGAGCGGAGTGACCACACAGCCCTCTGCCCCTAGGCGTGACCCACGAGCTGGCCAGTACTTTGGACCTACTGCCCACCCTGACGGCTCTGGCCGGGGCCTCACTGCCCAACGTCACCTTGGATGGCATTGACCTCAGCCCCCTGCTCCTGGGCACAGGCAAGGTAGGCCCAGCACCCCCGGCTCCTCGGCCCCCTCCTGTCCCCAGCGGTGAGCTGGGCAGCCCCCCTGGCGAGCGCGTCCAAGGCTGCCTCCTGTGGAGCGGATCAGTGCCCAGGGCCCGTCCGCACCCCGTGCCCCTGGCTTTGTCCCCAGAGCCCCCGGAAGACTCTGTTCTTCTACTCGGCCAACCCAGACGAGATCCGAGGGGTCTTTGCTGTGCGGAGCGGGAAGTACAAGGCCCACTTCTTCACCCAAGGTAACTGCCCACCCGGCCCTGCGGCCCTGTGTCCGCAGCCCCAAGCCCGGCCCCTGCCCTCCTTCTCGCCCTGTGCACAGATGTGCCCCCTCCCCAGGTTCTGCCCACAGTGACACCACGCCGGACCCTGCCTGCCACGCCTCCAGCCCACTGACTGCCCATGATCCCCCGCTGCTCTTTGACCTGTCCAAGGACCCTGGTGAGAACTACAATCTTCTGGGGGATGTGGCCAAGGTCCCCCCAGAGGCCCTGCGAGCACTGAAGCAATTGGAGCTGCTCAAGGCCCAGTTTGACGCTGCCATGACCTTCGGCCCCAGCCAGATGGCCCGGGGCGAGGACCCTGCCCTGCAGATCTGCTGTCAGCCTGGCTGCAGCCCCCAGCCATCTTGTTGCTACTGCCCAGAGCCCAGGCCAGAGGGCAGGCCTAGGGGCAGGCCCCAGCCCAGGCCTAAGCTCGTCCCCAAGGGCAGGCCCCAGCACAGGCCCGAGCCCGTCCTTGAGGGCAGGCCCCAGCCTGTCGCTGAGGGCAGGCCCCAGTCCATCCTCATCCCTGAGGGCAGACTCCAGCTCATCCCTGAGGGCAGGCCCGAGCCCCTGGCTGAGGTCAGGCCCCAGCCTGTCCCTGAGGGCAGGCCTGAGCCCCTGGCTGAGAGCAGGCCACAGGCTGTCCTCGAGGGCAGGCCCGAGCCCCAGGCTGAGAGCAGGCCTGAGCCTATGCCTGAGGGCAGGCCCGAGCCCCTGGCTGAGAGCAGGCCACAGGCTGTCCTCGAGGGCAGGCCCGAGCCCCAGGCTGAGAGCAGGCCTGAGCCTATGCCTGAGGGCAGGCCCGAGCTCCTGGCTGAGGGCAGGCCCCAGCCTGTCCCTGAGGGCAGGACTGAGCCTGTCGCTGACCAAAATTTGTAAAGCAATTACTAACAGAACTAAAGGGAGAAACAACTGAGCCTGTCGCTGAGGGCAGGCCCGAGCCAGAGCCCGTGGCTGAGGGCTGGCTCGAGCCCGTCGCTGAGGGCAGGCCCCAGCCTGTCCACGAGCCCATCTCTGAGCCCATCTCCCAGACGGTCCCTGAGCCCATCCATGAGCCCATCCCCCCAACCGTACCCGAGCCCATCCCTGAGAGCCCTGGTGGAGAATAGCCCAGTCCCCTCAGCCCCCGAGGCATGTGACAGTCATTTGCTAAGGTGCGGGCATGGATGTGGTTTGTACTTGATAACCCAATAACATCAGCTGACACTTGTAGGTGTGATCGTTCATCCAGTTCTTGTGATGGCAAGAGGTAGAGATGCTGTTCTTCGTGTGTCACGAATGAGAAAACTGAGGTGTGGAGGGACCCAGCGACTTGTCTGAGGTCACGGCCAGTGAAGTTGGTCTGGGATCTGGCAGGCCTCCTGGCCCTGGATGCCACCACCACCGTAGCGACTGCATGTGTCGGGAGCATGAGCTGTCCTTAGTGCTTCGTGTGCCAGGAGCAGGGTGGGGAGGTACGGGGTGCGATGGACAGAGGACCCCAGAGGCTCAGAGTGCCGGTGAGAGAGGTCTCCCTGGAGGCTGGGCCAGGCCGCCTCGGCCCTTCCCAGGAGCCTGGCTGAAGGCGGGTGGCAGGCTGCATGCTCTGGTGGGGGTAGGGGGCTGGGGGCCGCCAGTGTCGAGAACGGCACCTCAGCAGCTCATGAGGGAGCCCCTCACCCACCATCCCACCTGTGTCCCCCAAAGCTCTGCATTTCCAGCCTAAGCACACATTTCCTGTCCCCTGGCTTCACCTTTGACCCCATATAAGCCATCCCCTGCCCAGCAGACAAAGCAATTTCTTAAAAACGTGTCAAGTCTGGTTCCATCCCTGCTCAAAACTGCAGGCTCAGAATAAAACCCAATCTCTGTGCAGTGGCCCCCACGCCCTCGCCCTTCAGCCTGCCTGTCCCTCGTCCTCGGCAGTGCCCGGGCCCCTCTGCAGAGGGGACCTCTCAACTGCCCACCCGCATCCACACAGCAGCGTGAAGGCCTCTCGTAGTACCCCCCATGCGTGCTCATGGAGCGCTGGCAGACCCCTCGTGCTCCGGCCATGAAAGGGGTGCCATCTGGGTGCTCCGGGCACCAGCGTGGGCGGACTGTCTCTGTGATCCCTCCTCACCGATGGGCACAGGCGCTGGACCCCTGAGGTGCAAACTCTGCCTGTCCCAAGAGGGCAGCAGCTGATCACAGTCGACGGTTGGTGCGGGAGTGGCGTGTGACCAAGGGTCCTGGGCAGTCTGCTGGGACTCCAGGGTCCTCTGGCGGCTGTGAGGATAGTGCTGTGGCAGCACTGGGCCTGACCAGACGCCGCCAAGCAGCTGCTGTACTGTGTCCCCAGCCGTCTGCCTCCATAGTGTGCAGTGCACGGAGACAAGCGACCGCTGGCGGGTCGTCGGTTACTCGCAGTGCAGAGCAGTCTTTCGGGTCAGGACATGTGGCAGGCACGCGTGTGTGTGCAAGTGGCCTCCTGAGTGACCCCTTGGTGTCAGACACAGTGTACCAAGGCACCTCCGTGTTCGTGTGACTCTGCCATCGCTCCGATTGGGAGGCTGCACGGATCATGCCCCAAATCTTGATGTGTCTTGAGACTGTCCCCATGAGCTGGTGGTTTCCTTGGGGACCCCTGCAGCCACGGACACTGGTCCCACCCGGACTGGGCATGCCCGCCCCCTACAGCCTGCAACTTCTCTTCCAGTGGGGCCCATAGTCCCCTCAAGGTGCCTCGGTTTCAGGGTGAGGACAGAGGAGCTGGACCAGGCGCATGACCTGTGGATCAGGTCAAAGGTGGACACTCTGGCAGGGCTCAGTGAATGCTCCTCCTGCGGGACCTGCAGGCACCTCCTCCGGTCTGTGGCCTCACCTGTGCAGTGAGCGTCATGTCCTCAGTTCCACTAACGTTTGCTCAGCATCCAATGCCATGCACAGTGCTGGGGCACAGGTCACCGGAGGGGACGCCCCTGCTCCCCCGTGCTCACTGCCCAGCAAGGGAGCCGAGCGTGAACCCTGGGGTCTCAGACACGCGTCGGCTCTCAGTGGCCGAAGCCCGCACCTGTTGCAGGTGGGAGTGCGGGTGCTGTCTGGGGAGGGTGCTGCCAGTGTCCTCCATCGCGACGGGTGGGAGCATGCAGACGTGTGTGAAGCAACAGGCTTGCACTTCAGGTGTGTGCACTTTGTGGTGTGTGTGTGTGTGTGTGTTTATACTTCAGTGGAAGTTACGGAACAGCGATAAGTGCCACAGAGGAAGATTACTTGTTCCTGCGGAAGCACAATCATGGCGCCGGCACAGGGTGGGCGCCGGGGGAATAGTAGAACCAGGCAGGACACTTCCCTACCCCCTGAGACTCTGCGCTGCCCCCAAGTTCGAGCCACACTGTCTGCACCCCAGGCGGAGAGGGAGCAGGTTGACTCCCTTTCCAGACGCCTGGGTTTTCCCAGGATGCTTTTGGAAGTGGAAAAGCCCATTTGTCACTTTAGCTGCTTTAGGGCAATGCATCGTCCTCATACAGGCATTGGTGTGTGCGCACACAAACACCCGTACGTACACGCACGCGCGCACTCACGTACCCGTGTGCACACAGGCCCGCACACGCATGCATGCGCCTACGTGGCCCCGCACGCGGCCCGCAGCGCCCCTGCGCTTCTTTCTCCTGCTGCTGCTGTTTTAAAACAGCCCTTTTCCTGTGAGCCTGACGTCGCCCGGTCACCTGGCTGGCGGCGCCCCCAGCCCACCCCAGCGGCTTCCCCCGGAAGGAGCCGAGTGCTCTGGGAGCCGACAAAAAGCCAACGCGTGGGTGCCGCGGGTCCCCTCCCTGCCCGAAGAGGGGACCCGGCTGACGGGCAGGGGGCGGGCCGCCCTCCCCGTCGTCCTCCTGGCTCACTCCCGCGCTCGCCTTTCCCCCAAGTGACCAGAAGGGGGAGCAAAACGGGATATTTCCACGGAATAGATCCGTTCTCTCCTCCGATCGTCCTGCGTCGCGGGAGCAACGTGCCCCGGACGCGCCCGCGCCCTCAGCCGTGCGCGCGCCCGCGCCTGCGCGCAACCGCGCATTTCACAGCGCTAATCAGCGATTTCCACCCGGACAGCCTCCCCGCCGCTGTGAGTCCGGTCACCTCCTTGGCCCCAGGCCTGCTGCAGGGGTGGCACTGACGGAGGCGAGGTCGTAAATGCGCTCCCGCCGTCTCCTTGGCGTGAAGACGCCTCTTGCCTGCGTCACCCCTGTGAGGCCCAGCAGCCTCCCAGTGGATCGCCTTTGGTTAAGTGACCCAGAGTCAGTGTCTATAGGTCGGCGGAGATGGGATGATAACTGATGTAGAAAAACGTTAGGTACCTGCCCACCCTCCCAGCCCCAGCAAATGAGACGTGGTCCCTGCAGACAAGGGGGACAGAGGCTGCCACAGGCCATGTGCGACGTGTTTGGGGTGGAGGACGCGGGACTGCTTCCTGGGGACACTGAGGCAGAGCACTGGGGATCCACCCATGCCACCCTTGACTGGACAGGTCACCTGCCCTGAGACCCCTCCCCTGTGATGTGGACAGTGCTGTTCGTTCACCGGAGGGCGGTGAGGAAGGGCAGAGAGGGGGCCTGGAGGCCGGTGGGTCTAAGACAGTGGACTCTGCTGCCCTGAGCTCTGCTGGCCGTGTTGGAGCGAAGCTGCAGACAGACACAGGGAGACCAGCCTCCTCTCCAAGTAAGTCTCACGCGGGATGTCCCAGACGCCTGCAGGTGGGTTGTGTGCTCTGGGGACAGGCTCTGTCTAGACAAAGGCTGCCGAGTTGGCGGCCTGTAGGGCGGTGAGCCGGGTTCTGCAGAAGTGAGGTTTGGCACAGGGTGGGCACCAGGCCTCCATGTGCCAGGAGAGTGCCAGGAGCCGGCTGCTCCTGTCTGGTCCAGATTTGCACAAAGGAAATAAGAAATAAAAGCAAAGTTGCCCTTTTGCCATCAGTGCAAATGATGCCAGGACAGCTTCTGGGCCTAAGTTGCTTGGTCCTCTGCCAGCTCCGTGTACGATGCCCTCGCTCACAGGGGCTCTGGCTTCTGGGGGTGGGGCTGCAGCACAGGGACCCGGCGTGACCCAGGCCGATGCTGCATTTTGTGCCCTCTCCATAAAGCGCGGCCCAGGTGGTGGTGGGCAGGGGTGGGGCATGCTGCAGGGGGGACCCCGTGCTGTGTATCGACTCCAGAGCCACATACACCTTACACCTGCACGCGTCCCATCACACCTGTGTCCACACCCGCCACCAGGTGAGGAGCCTGGAACCCCCGCTCCACTGGGCACCCTAACACTCGCTCTTCCACGGCAGCCATCCGCTTCCTCACCACCTTCACCCTGTGGGGGTCTCTGCACAAACCCTTGGTGTGGGGGGAGGGTCTTCTGCCTGGGTCCCTGGTCACGATCTTGTTCTCTGTGCCTCCTTAAGGGTGTCAGAGCTGCTGCTCTGCTCAAAGGCTCAGCAGCCATCGACCGCAGCTGCTGCTGGCCACGCGGTCGAGAGGGCCCGCTTCTTCACCCAGCGGGCGATGTGCCTGCTTCCTGTCCCCCGGGCAGATGGTCAGAGGGACACTTCTCCAAAGAGCCCCTGGCCTCAGGCTGGGCCTGACAGTGGCTGTCCCTCCTACGCTACCTGGCCCCTACCCCCTCACCACAGCGAAACCAGCTGCCTGCCCCTTCACCCCTGGCCGGAATAGGCCACAGTGCTCAGAGATACAGCAGCCCTCAGGTGATCGCGAGGACAAAGGCCACACACTGGGGATGTGGGAGCCAAGGGAAGAAGCCTGCTGTCCTGCTATCACCTTCCAGCCTCCAGATCTGCTGCCCCTGGCGACTAGATTGATCTTCCCGGGTTTCTCACTTGGAGCTGAGTGTTTTGCTTCCACACGTGTTACGTAATTCATTGTTGAAATATTTCCACCGACATCCAGTGACTGATGTTCCCTGCGTGTAGAATATAATGTCCGGTGTGTGTGTGTGTGTGTGTTTGTTTCATCTTATTAATTATATTTTGACATCTACGTTTTTTATTGTAAAGCGATGAAGAGAAATTAGAATCCATCTCTATGATTCTGGTTTCCTCCTTTTTCTTGCTACTCAAGCATTTTGAATCATGTATTTCTTGGTCTGTCATTTCATTACTGGAGACTGGGTGTGCTGAGACTGTCCTTCACTGCACCTGTCATTTTATGATGACGTTGGCTACTTAGCTTTGCCTTAAATTCTTCCTTGATTCCCCA